GCCATATAAAATAAATTCCTTGATTCTCATCACCGCCCGACGATATTTTGGTTTCCGCGTTGATATATTTTTGTATTTTGTTATAAAATATAAATTTACCGCCCGACCGACCATCTTCAGAGATTTAGTTATTTTTATATTTTATATTGGAATTTTTGCGATATAAAATTGTTTTACCGTTAATATTGCAACATGTTAAGGGATGCTTGGAATACTGAAGGAAAAATGGGCTTATAGCCTTATTACAACGATTTGTGTGGACCCTTATGCATGTTCATTAGCGCATGTGCAATTATCCACTTATATAGCGTTCTTCTATAATATATTTAAGGGCAAATATAAAAAGACCTCCCTCTCCAATTTTTTAAATTTTAAACTTTTTTTTACATTTCGACATAAAATATAAAATATAAACCTCCCGCCTCCTGGGAGTTTTTAAAATTTAGCGATGAGAATCAAGGAATTTATTTTATATGGCCTTAGTGTTTAATATTGAGCTATTATAAAACCAGATCTATCTGCCCAAATCTCTTGCACCCATTAAGCTGGAATGCATCTAATAAAAATCCCTGCACCTCCGATAAAGTTGTCATTTTATCATAAAATATGCACTCAAGAAATGAAATGCAAAAATATAGTCATATTGATGGCAATTTTTTGTTTTCAAAGTCTTGTTAAAATTACGAGGACTGTATGCATCAATAAAAACTTGATGTATATCACGTTTTACCTGCACAAATCTTTCAAGATTGCATCTGGGATTGATGTATGAACGACATTTGGATCAATAAAAAAACCTCGCTCCGTCTTCGACGCCATTTTGTTCGAGTTTCTTCTTTAAAATTTTTGTCACATGGTTAGTGTCCAGGCTCAAAACTGCGGACACCGATCTCTAATCACTGGAGCAATGCCTGTGCGCGGGCTAGGATGGCATTGGCTCTGGGAGGAAATTGACAACCGGAACCCCTAAATTTAGGGGTCCCGTTCTTTGTCGGCATGCACGATTGATAAACGTCAAACCAATCACAGCACAGGAAAAATTCAATTTCAATTTTAGGGTATTGAAAAGGGCACCTAAAGAATTTTTCCCGGAAATGTTGGCGACGGACGGGGGAGGGGAGAAGAAAAATTTTCCCGTCGTACCATATCGAAATTACACGTTTTTGACCAAATTTTTTTAAAAACCTTGGAAATTTCCAAACAAAAAGGGTTGCGACATTAGCTTGTACAAAAAGGGCACTTTTCATCACACAAAAAAGACACTTTTTGTCCTTTGAAAAAAATTGAAGAGAGCACGTGCCCCCCGGTTCCTACGCCCCTGTTTATATTCTTTAGTTTTGTTATGTCTCATAGAGTAATAGTTATAATCAGAGTTGGCAACAGTATACTGTATGAGAGCTGGCCTCTGTAGCTCAGTTGGTTAGAGCGCTGCACCGGAATCGCAGGGCCGTAGGTTCAAGACCTTCAAAAAGTTACACCCTCTCAAAAAAATGTTTCCGGAAAGCAAAAACGAGGAGGGGGGAGAGGAGGTCAACAGTTTTTTCCGAAAACGTCCCAAAAAAATTTCAGAACACTAATTTGAGATAATAAGGATTTAATTTAAAAATACTTTTTCAGACCTTTTTCGACCTCAATTTTTCAGACAATTCCTTGATATTTAACACGTTCTGCAATTTCAGCATTCCGGCACCCCCTCTGGGCAAGTTGGCCCCCCTTTTTTTACTTTTCTTTGGGGGTGATACACCCCCCCCCCCCATACACACTCTAGCAGTTTCGGCCCTGCTTGGCTATATAATATTTAATAAACTGAACCAGGAAATTTAAAAACACAAAACACGTGCCTATTTGAATAAAATAACCACTAACCGGTTAGTAACTAACATTACAGTATATTAAGATACGAATCATACGATGGGTCTTGAAACTAAACAGAAGTATTTGTTACGTTTTTGTCGGAGTTTATGTTAATTTGTGGACGGTGACGGTGATTGAGCTCATTGTATTTTCGTAGAATTAAGCAACCGTCCAATAAGGATAGATGAGATGAAACGTATGAAAATAATATTTAATGAAGACAGTCGGGAAATCCGTCACACGAGTTTCCCGTCTTAGACGGAAATCCTTCTTCTAATATGAATTCAGAATTCATATTAAAAGACGGATTTCCGTCTAAGACGGGAAACTCGTGTGACGGACTTCCGTCTGGTATAAGTATGAAACGAAAACCATCGGACGGATAAACCCGAAAAAATAGGAGACCCTCCATCCCTGTCTCAAAAGAACGTTACGAGCAGAAACCGGTCTTGACTTATTCGTCTGATATAAATTTAAAACGGATTTAAGACGGATTTCCGTCTAAGACGAGAAACTCGTCTAACTTTCCCGTCGTTCAGACGGGAAAGTTAGACGGAAAAGTTGTGACGGGTAACCCGTCGTTAACCGAATTTATATCAAGACGAGTTTCTCGTCTGAGACGAGTTTCCCGTCTTAGACGGAAATCCGTCTTCTAATATGAACTCGGCTAGTGAAGTTGAAACAAAGGATTTGTGCACAGCGAGGTTCAACATCAAAACAAAGGTCCTCTATTTTGTGGCTTTAAAGTTTGCCGGGATTCCAGACCATCATATCTTAATGGACTATTAAGACATATGCTTACATGTTAAACTTCTTATTCTATAACGTCTTAATTCTAAGTATTCTATAAGAGTCAATCATCTGCAGATGCCACGATGTTAGTTGTAGGATACAAAACTATAGCTACATTAATTATTTCACTTGTTAATTCCCCTTTTTTGGTTATGCCGTAAAATCATTCACTAGCACGATGGTTCTTTTTTACACGCAGGGCCACAATGCCACTTGCTACAACATTTGCACGCGACGTCATGTACATAACAAACCCAACTAGCGTATTTACAACATCCTCGGTAATTGCCACAACATCCATAATCGCTTCCGTATATGTACCAGCCTCGTTTATTCGTCCACAAACCCCATCCTCTGTGACATTTCCTCCGTATTCTTATACCCCGCTTCTGCAAGACACTGCGTTTCGTTTCGTAATCGCCGACGTTGCCGTTGGCCAGCACGAGGAAACTGAACAGAAGACTGAAGATGAAAACCAGTTGTAGAAATTTCATTGTTTATGAAAGCTTGAAAAGATAATTAAATAAAGAAATATTACTTTAAGTTTAATTTTAGACTTAGATGGTCCTGTCAAAAAGCACTATTTTACTAAATCTGCCGAACTGTGATTTGTGGAACAATTTACTAACATACATAAATTGTTTAATTCCTCGTCACAAAAGATCCGTTTCTAAATCACAGATTATTGATAAAGTATAAATCTAATGACACAAAATTATTTTCTTTGACTTTGTAATATATACCTGAGCACCGATGTTCTCCAAACAAAACTGATCAGGTAAGAAACTTGAGCTTGTTCTTCAGGCGACAGTCAAGAGTTGAATGATAAAAGTTCTGTCATGTTGTGTAATATGTTATAACACACCAATTTAATTTTTCATTCAAAATCATCTTCCTTCAGCAATTTGCTTAATCGAAACTATTGTCTCAGTGCTCTCTGGAATAAGAGCTTATTCGTGCAGATCCCACATTCTTTTTTTGGCGGCAATATTCAACATCTTTAGAATATTTAGAATAGCTGGACCAGAATAATGGGAACTAGAGATCAAAACATGCCAAAAAGAGCCAAACTCGGAAACCGTGACGGGGACTGGAGCCAAGTGGTTTATACATCAATTTGTACGGACACACATACTGCGAATTTACACTGCATCAAATTCTTTATCACTTAATTTATGAAACAGTAAGAAGCAGTTTAAAGGTATTGTTAGCTTGTAACATTAGGATGTTAAGGTTTAATTCCTACCAGAGGACCTTGTGCTGCATTTTTCGCAGTCGTTCCTGGTTAGGTCTTAATATATATATATTCTCACTTGGATTACAAACACTAACATCCTAATATTAATTCCACCAAGTGAAGTGCAAGAATCTAAGTCATTCAAGTCCTCCTTATGCTCCTCCTCCTTAACACTATGCAAGTTGTTTTGCAAACGGACCAAAGTGGAAAAGCAGTCGAACTCTTCGACGACAGTGGCACAGATGGACAATATACTCTAAATTTAGTGGACGTATATTTGGCTACCCTCAGCGCTTCACATATAATCGACATCATCTGTTTCGAGCAATATTAGCAAGTCTGCTGAAGCAAAAATAAACTGGAACATGGTAAACATTTCCGTTCTTTTTCAAATCCAAACCTTGCTGGCTTTTGTACCCCCAAAAGTAATGTCGTCTGCCAAACGAGGCTTTCAAATTGCGACTATTTTTATTATCGGCCGATTTATCGCAGGAAACAAACAGGCCAAAATTTTCGTTTCACTATAAGTTTTCCTTTTATGTTACATGCAGCTATTTCAGTTAAGGTTGTCCCCAAGCAAAGCGGAAAAGTCGAATACGAGCGCGAAAGGCTCGCTGGGAATCGCTAAACAATTAATTATTTTGTTAGCGATTCCCTTTGCTCGAAGACAACCTTAATTGAATAGTTGTATACGTATAATAGGTATATGGCTATCCTTTCAAAAAAAAACAAATGACAATCTATTTGTCATTGGTCACAGTAATATACCGGGGAAAATCTATTATAAAATCCAAGGAAACGTTTTCGTCGCGGTTACTACAGTACAGATTTTTGACTCGAAATTCTATCATTTGAGGTCTTTCCTACAATTACAACGATGTCCGAGAGGCACAATCAAGATATTTCAAAGCAAGATTTCAGTGGATAAGTCGGCAGTCTAATGTCTTCTATAAGTCGGACGTCTTCGCCTCCAACTGTGTCTTTAAATGAATAAATTGATAACGTTTAAGTTTAAATTTACATTCTTAAAGTTCTTCATACCAAAGCCAAAGGACGATAAAAAAGATTTAAACATAGGTCTATACATCTCTGAGTTTCACACCTTCTTTTATGGCTGCACCATATCAATTATCCAACTTAGACTCAGTATAAAAACTAACAAAATTATTTGATAATTTTGATCTCACGATCATCTAGTTTCCAACTTTCACTGAAACGTTATTGTGAAATATGAAAGCCAAGTTTCAGTGAGACCAGGAAGTCGTCACCCTTGACTGGGTCTGTTTATATGACTAAATTGATAACGTTAGAATTTACATTCTTCATATACAACAAAGGATGAGTGAAAAAATCTAAAATAGGTCGACATCTCTCAGTTTTTAACCTTCTAAATAACAATGTTGATTCAATGACCATTTCGAAATGATCCATGCACTCATGCAGTTATGAAATTTATTCATTATATTTCTGAGACCCAATTTTAAAATATTCAGTAGCTCATTCCGTTTGATCAGGAAGTCTTTGCCTCCAACTGTGTCTGTCTGCGTGGTTAAATTGATAAATTATTTTCGCTGCAGACAAAGAACTTTCTTCTCAAGTCTATAACCTGCTTTCATGACCATACAGTATCAGTCAGCTAATCCAATTGAATCTAACAAATTTCTCTGCGATCATTTTGAATCAATTTTTACTTTTCTTTAACTTTATTTCATTTCTGAGATCAGACTGTAAATTCGTTTGATCAGGAATTATTCACCTCCGACTAAAGACTGTAGTATATATACAATATATAGAAGCCTTGACCGAATTATGTTTGAAAGATACAATTTTCTTTATCTTACAACATGCACACGATTTACAATGTGTCTGAAAATCACAAAGTATTTATTTATACCGCTAGGATTTTATTTATATTGCTCGCTACATAATAGACAGATTTAATTTGAGTTTAGCTGAACAGCTGGGGTGGCTGCACCCCCCCCCCCCCCCTTCCCCCCCT